ATTCAAACCCGCGACCCACAGATTGCGAGTCGAGCACCCTAACCACCTGGCCATGCCGGGCCCAGTACAGAGAGCCCATCATGTAGATTTGTGCTTAATTGCAAATAAACAACATGGATATCTAAACGTACATGATTATTACCCATATTTCTCAGCAAACGTTCACAGCTTATCTGAGGACAAAACATCTTGGTACGGTACAGCATTCAATTCAGGCGGTGTACAGGGGGACCCCCCCCCTGTGCAAATATTTTACCTCTGAAGTACAGTATTTTCCATTTTGTCGAATTGGAATTCATCCCCCCCTCCCCAGGTGGAAAGGTCTGGTATGGCCTATCAAACATTTCACAGTAAAAAAATCCACTTTCGAATATATATATATATTTTTACCCTGTATAAGGGCTGCAGCCTCATTTTGTGAAAAAAAAAAAAAAGATGACGAAGAAAAAGCACTTATCACCTCTTCTACTCGTACGCATACAGTAACAGAGAAGTGAAGTAGTTGGAATGTTATAAATTCAGATACACAACAGCAGAGTCATCATACAGAAAGGATATCATTACGTTGTAGAATTACACAGCTGTAAGCATGCAGCAAGAGCATTATTATATTGTATAAGTACACGATTGTAAGCTTGCAGCAACAATATTATTACGTTAAATACATATTTGTTAGGGTGCATCGTGAATATCATTATATTGTTGAAGTACAGAGTTACAAGCGTGCAACAAGGGAGTCATTATATTGTTAAAGTACGTACGGTTGTAAGCATGCAGCAACGTTAGCATTATATTCTACAAAAATGTAAGCATGCTTTTAAAGGTGTTAATTTATTGTAAAACATACAGTTTTTAATTGTACTGAGTATATTTCATAACTTTCATGAAATTGTGAGTTAAGAGCATATGATGTTTTTGTAGTTGTTAAGAAAGGGTAAATACATTTTTTTTTCAAAAATCATTTATTTAAATCAGAATCAAAACGAAGTGTATCATTCGTTTGTTTGTTTGTTTTTGAATTTCCCGCAAAGCTACACGAGGGCTATCTGCGCTAGCTGTCCCTAATTTAGCAGTGTAAGACTAGAGGGAAGGCAGCTAGTCGTCACCACCCACCGCCAACTCTTGGGCTACTCTTTTACCAACGAATAGTGGGATTGACCGTCACATTATAACGCCCCCTCGGCGGAAAGAGCGAGCATGTTTGGTGTAACGGGGATTCGAACCCGCAACCCTCAAATTGCGCTCTGCATTCAGTGACTCTTTAGACGACAACTGGGGTATGTATGTATGTATGTATGTAGAATATTAGGGAAACCAGGTTAAAGCACACACACATACAAAGGTAATGTAATCGATCTTACTAACGCTCTGTCTATCATTAATGAAGAAACAAACTTGAAGGTAAGGCTTATATACAATTTGTTCATCACTTCCTTGAGAAAAAAGCTTACGAAGGATGAGTGGTCGGCCTGAAAGCTGTGTCATTATTGAAACGTGACATTAGTTATCGATGTAAATATATCTGTGCAGAGCCCACTACCCGGATTTTAGCGTTCTAAGCCCACAGACTTACCGCTAAGCCAATGGGAGACATTTCTTGAAGGTAACAAAATGAATTATTGTTAACTTTAAGTTAAACGTGATTAATTAATTAATGATAGTAACCCGGATGAGCTAAAAGTTCTTGGTTTAAATCATATTTTTTTTTTATATATAATTTAATTATGTTGCATTCCGTCATATTTTAATAATAATACTTATTGAATTTATAAGGTATGTCAATTAAGGGAAGTTACATTTATTCAAAAACAAACAAAGAGAGAAAAAAAAAGCTGAACATTTCTGAATTATCCGAATACTTTTTTATTAATAATATTTTATAATAATATTGGCCCGGCATGGTCAGGTGGTTAGGGCGTTCGACTCCTCGTCACACCAAACATGTTTCAGCCGTGAGGGCGTTATAATGTGACGGTCAATCCCACTATTCGTTGGTAAAAGAGTAGCCCAAGAGTTGGCGTTGGGTGGTGATGACTAGCTGCCTTCTCTCTGCTGAATTAGGGACGGCTAGCGCAGATAGCCCTCGTGTAGCTTTGCGCGAAATCCGTAACAAGCAAACAAACAGTAATATTCACCAGTGAGTAGTCAACCAATTTCTCTGAAGTCCATAAAATTTATTATTATTTTTTTATGACCAGCTAATGTTTCTGGAGTGAAAAATGTCTGACGATTAAAAAAAAACTCGAATCTTCAGTAATAGATTATTCTGTAACTAAACATGATCGTTACTTTTTATTATAGATTGATGTGTTTGTTTTAGGTCAAAGCTCATAATGGACTATTTGTGTTGTGTCAACGCGGGGATCGAGCCCCGAATTCTAGCATGAGCCATCGGGATCCAGGTCGGGGATAGCAAAATATTTTAAAATGTCATGAAACGGGGAGTTGATCTGAAGTTTTAAAAGTTTATTCGAGGTTATTTTTTAACTGCTTATTTTTGTAATATTAATCGAATCGAAGTAACTATTCAAAACAAATGTTAATGCTTTTATAACGAAGAGTATGATTAATACTGTTTTTGTTTTGCTATACACGACCTTGGATTTTTACTTTTCAGTTACGCTGTAAAACCACTCATCCTCAGAAATACAGGATTATAAAACTTTCCAAGTACTAACAACAGCTGTAAATGCAGGCCAATCGCAACCAACTTGATTTCTGACGTCACACTTCTAGGTAGAAGGTATAAGTGGAAGGCAAGATAAACACTGTAAAAGTGCTCTCGAGTGGACGCGTAAGTACTTTTATTAACCTTGCGTATTTGACCTAAAACGTGCAATCAGTGCTAGCTCTATAATAAGTTTAATGATTTATTTTATTTTTTAGTCCCTCGGTAATGTTCAGTTGACTCTATTTAACTTATCTACGTTTGTGACAAGAAAGTGAAGATGGTTATGTATACATAGCTTCTACAAGGAAGGAAGGAGTTAAGCAAGCGTCCGGTCATAACAAGGAAAATTCGCCGAATTTCAAGAACACTTCCGGCTGAAACAAAGTGCAGACCTAATGTTAACAACAGTAGGAACGATTTTTTTTCTCCATTAAGTAAGCTATATCGTAAATAAATACGTAGTGTTCAGTTGTTTACTCTACAACGAATATCATGTCCATTTCACTACCCTTCTCTACGTCCCACATTAAACTGAAACTAAAATTCTGGGGTAAACGTTCCATTTCCATCAATGAATATGACTCTACTTATAAAGCAGTGTATCTAGGGAATGTGGTCACGCCCTGGGGCAAGGGTGACACGTACGTGGATATGGCCTTAGCCACTCTGTGGAGTAACTATCATACTAACGTTAAGCAGGATATTTACATGACACTAACCGTGTGTAACTCAGGACTGAAGGCTATGACCAAGGAATACGGACTGACAGAATATTGGGCTAATCGCATCACCTACTGTGTGGCCCACCCTCACTACCCGCGGGTGTTCTGTTGGGTGTACAGGCACGCAACTTATCGCCTTAATCAAGAACTTCGTTGCCACGCCATCTTGTGCGGTAAGGAAGAAAAAGCTCAGATAATGGTGAATCAACTGAATCTCAAGCTGACTGATGCTCTTCAGGAATTCAGACGGGAAAAGCTTAGCCGACAAAAAACTCGATTGTCAGTAACCAACTCCGCATCTGTTCTCCCAACCATGCCACGTCGGAAACAGCTGCTCATCACGGGGACAACTAACTTCCGGCCCCCTTTAGGACGAGTAAGAAGTGCCCCAAAACTTTCTTCGATAGAAGAGTTGGAAGAAGAAGAAGAAGATGATGAGGATTCGGAATTTGAAGATCTTCTGGCCTCTGACTCGGTCATTTCGGATCTCGAGTCATCGGTGGATGTGCTGTCAGATGATTTTAGTTCTATGTCCGATCAGTTCTCAGGTGCTATGCAACTGAGTGACACAAGTGCTGAGGAAGTGATATACACCAACGACCCAAAGTCACCAAACTCTATGGACGGAGCTCAAGCGAACAGTGACAACTTTTCAACCGAATCTGGTTATTCAGAGAACAACGAATGAGGTTCAGAACTGTAACCTTTCGTTAAGTGTTGTCTTAAGAAAAAAATGCAATAATCATCAGTCCTAGTTCTGCAGGTAATAAACACTGAAAACCAAATGAAACAAACAGCAAAAACTAAAAAATTTCAACTGTTTCAAAAATCTTCTATGAAGAATATCAAATTAAACTTAATTAAGAAGCACCACAACGTTAAAGGTGCGCAACAATTTATTTCAAAGGCACCAGGACCAACATGTTTGGGAGATATTTCACCCTGTCTTCACCAGGAAGAGTCCTTTGAAACATGGTGAGCTTGGCGTAGTAGTATTCTACCGCACCATCACCAGGAAATCCATAAAACACGTTGAGCCTGGTGCCTTTTTAATACATTATTATGCACTTTTAACGTTATGGCGCTTTTCAATTCAGTTAACTCGTGCACAAGGATCATCTTTTGCCATAGTTAAGTTATCAAGTATTTGGAGTTTTTGAAATATTTTAAACTATTTATTGTTTTTCCCTTTTTATTTTTAGGAGTTTAGTGGGATGAGAAGTAGTACTGATAACCCACGAACCTTTTCTGTCTCTTGTTTACATCTTGACTGAAAACGACTTGTCATTAATTTATTTGGTCTGAAACAATAATATTCATAACTCGTTATGCTTAGGAAGCTTCTTCATTTTGAAATTAATCTTTCTTTTACAAAGTATAAAAATTACTTTACCCTCATATTGGAGAGACAAAAAAAAAAAGGATTTCACTTGTTTTGTTGCAATCTCAAGACCAAGGAGAAATACGGGTTCCGATTCCCCGCGGCAGACAGAGCGCAGGTAGTCCATTATGTAGTTTTGGGCTAAACGAAACAGATAAAAACATCTAAATAAAGCTATTCTAAATTAATGCTTTATCAACCAAACGCGACTAAATAAAAACTTATTCATAATTAATTGATTATTTGGATTTCAATGTTAAGCCTTACTATGTGCTATGTTTTAGCGTAAAGCTACACAATGGGCTATAGGCGTTGTGTCTACTGCTGGGAGATGAAGTTTTCTAAAGAACTAAAACTAAATAGGAAGAAAACTCAAAGTTTAAAATGTGTTAGATTTACCACGTCTCTACATATTTATTTAAAATATAAGTAGCTTATAAGACAGACTGAAATAATCAAATTATATTCTTTTTTTTCTTCTAAATTATCAAGACATTTGTGACAAAATATTAATCTGTCAAATCTTATTCTGTAGTCAGAAGCATAAAAAGTATATGTACATAGTTTTAATTTTGACAAAGCCAGGAGTTCCAATTTTTCCCATTTACTGACTGTAACTTGACTTTATTTGATTATGTTTGTTCGTGATATCCCAATCTACATCTGTTTATCAATTGCACATTACGCTCCTCTATCATCTGCTTGTTCGTTGCTTACAGCACACTACGCTCCTCTATCATCTGCTTGTTCGTTGCTTACAGCACAC